CAACTAACTGCTGTCTTTTGCCATTAGAATCATACGGGATAATATATCTATCTTTTGTTGAAGGCTTAAGATGTGCCAAACACTGGGCATTATGTGAATTAACCTCAGGACATCCTTATAGGTTCATATTATCAACAACCAAACCATTTTACAGAAGAGCAAATCAAGGCTAAGAAGTCTACCCGAGGTCACCCAAACACTAAGTACCATACTGAGGCTCAATCCTGTTCAGTCTCGTTCACAGACCATACATGTCAGTGATAGAAAAGTTTGGTTCTTCTATTGGTGGAACTGGATCTTTCCTGGGTCTTACTCAAATAGGAAATTGAGCAATGACCTACAGGCCTCACAGATGTGCGATCTGGACTCCCGGATCTACCCCTTTGTCTTTATTTTATTTGGTATCCCTTCCCACATAGGTAACCTCTCCCTACCCTCATCCCTTTCTTTAAGGGCAATGGGAAGAGAAGAATTATCCTCCTGGAAAGTGCTTTTTCTGGAAAATAGGAATGTGAGTCTAGTGAGATTGGGGAGATAAATGAAGAAGTCAGGCTGGTTGTGGGGGGCAAGGTGGGAACAAATCTCAGAGAGGGGGTGTGTGTGACAGAGAGAGAAAGACAGACAGACAGACAGACACACTATGGCCAGAGAGTAGCCGGAAAGGATCAAGCTAAAGGAGAAAGAACAAAGTCCTGGCCAAGTGCAGCCCTGGAGGGGCCATGTAAAAGCTCCGGCTGCTCTGTGGAGTTCGGCAGGTTGTTTGAGATGCTCTCTCACCAAAAGCAAGAAATGGATCAACATCTTATATACATGGCCCAGTTCCAAGTTCAACAAAGAAGTGCGCATGGAGAGGCCCTTCAGGACGGCAGGCCAAACCAGGCACATTTTATTAAATCCAATGCATGTCTTGGGGCTCGCTGCATGCAAAGACCAGCGTTTGGCCAAGAACAAACAGAGAGACCTTACCTACCACAAAGACAAGGCAACCATGGTCTCTCCTTAAACCCTTCAGGACAAAGAAGCAAAGTAAGCCTTAAAGACAATGCTTTATTTAGATATAACCATCGAGCTATGCAAATATTTGAACATTTGGAGCCATGAAAATGTGGTATTCCAGCCATCGGTCTTCCATTTGCAAATTTTTCTACACATCAGAATACGAGGAAATACGTGACATATTCTCAAGTCCAGAGTGGACTTTTTCACTCTAGAAACATGGTGTGAATTTATTAAAGACACCTTCCTTGCACCTAAGAGGCAGAGGCTCAAAGACAACGTGAAATGCCAACGGACCAAACGGCAACTGCAATCTTGTGCCTCTTGACAAGTGAAGCTGTGTTTTAACACAGTCTCCAAAAATGCGGGTTTTCCTCTCTCTCGCCCTTCTTAAAGAGCTGGGCAGGTTGGTGCCAAACTGCCGTATGACTTCACTTTCTGTAATCCGCAGGGCACGTGTGAATACCCGCGGTATGCCAGATTATCAGTAAGGTGATAACGCTTGTATATTATACCTGCTTGGCACCATCTGAATGAGACTCCCTGAGGCCGCCTAAGGTTTCGCTTCCTGTTATCTGCACCTGCACTAATTTCAGAAGCAAATAAAAAAAACCCCACAAAACCATATTTTAGGGCCTTATTCAAAAGCGAGCAGACAAAAACCAAAGCAAGTCAACACAAACCCCAGAACACAACAATAAGGTAATTAACCTGAGGTTCCAAATTGCATGTCATGTACGTGAGGTACACCTCCTTCAGTTTTTTAGTAATCTCTGAAAAGTTCCTCATTCTTTACCTGTCTTGGCTATTTAATGTGACTTTTAACCAATAAAGGCAGAATAATCACAATCGAAGAGCTAACATATATAAAGCCCCTGTATTTGCCAGAGACTGTGTCACATTGTACATGGATTGTCTCATTTAATACACAGAACTGATAAGGTAAGGTCAATTATTATAACCTTTTAGACACACATACACATATATATGGAAGATCAAGGGAAATTAGAAAGTTAATAGGCTTTAAGTCACTCAACAAGTGTTAAAAGCCTCTTTAAACAAAGCCAGCCAAACTTGAGTCCTTGCTTTTAACTACCGTGCCGCACGGTGTGACCGACACACATGACTACCCTGGATGAGGATTTGGTTACACCTTTAACCAGCACCACAGGCTTCCCGCGGTGTCCTCAGCATCAACAAAACTCTTTATCGCTGCAGTTACACGGCTCTTACAGAGTTTTTAAAAAATTATTTCTAAGTGAGAGTTTATACTTCAGTGAACAGGCAAACAATCCTTTGGGGAAGTTATTTCCATACCATTTTCAGAGGATGCAAACTGAAAAGAGGAAAGGAAAGAGATCGCATCATCGTCCCAGGGGTCGGGGCTATAGACACCAATGACTTCTGTCACTCTGGCCATTACGAGGTGCCGGAGGTTAAGAAGGAATGAAAAATGAAGGCTTCATGGACTGCAGTACTCAATGCACACGCTGTCCGTGGAGACGCCAGGAGCACGGCCAGCACGAAAGCAATTCCCTATCAGTACCTTTTCTGCAGGAACTAATGGTTAGGATATTTTATTTTGGTTTTTACCAATTCATTGTGTGACATTCATTGTGTAATAGAGAGTCTTTGCTAAATACACATATTTGGTGGTGGTAGGGGGGAGCTAAACAGACTCTTAATAAGAAATTCAAATCAAGAATTACTCAAGACGACACCTGCCGTCTGGCCTAATGGAAAAATCAATCTGGCAGGTTCTTAATTAAGTGCTCAGGCTAGAAAGAAAAAGCGGCTGCTTACACTTCGTATAGTACCTAGGATATTTTAGGTAGTCACAATGTAACTGAAAGCCGTCTTTGTTACAGAAATGGTAACTACACAGAAAGAGGACCCATTTGATTCCCGGAAGCCACAGATTTAGTAAATAAAAAGGTTGAAGTAGAGGCATCTCATAAGCTTGTTGACAAAAATCTCTGTGAAGAATGATGTTGGGTTTGAATGTCTAAATGATGTTTCTATTAGAATGCCTAACTGAGGAGGTCTAAAAATGAGCCATGGGGTGCAGGGTTGGGTGGTTAAGAAGCAATGCTTCCTGCCCTAGTAGTAAGTTGGGGTCAATGAATGACCAAATTAGTGAAGAGGTGAACAAATGAGGAATAAAACAAATGGATGAATGAGTATATAAATGGGTTGCTTCCAATGAGACAACCTAATTCTCCACTCCACTTTATATGATCACTAAGAAATGTACAGGTACATGAACATAATAAACACCTCTCACTGAGCACAATGGTAATAATTACAAATTCTGACCAAGTCTCTCCTCATGCACTGAGCACAGATGTGGCTAAACACTCGCCTAACGTGGGTTATGATCACTGTGGGGAGTGACAGTTGGCAAATGTGAGGTCCCTCTTCCCAACCTGCTAAGCAGCACAGCCAGTGTATTCTGCAACTGCCCTGACAGAGGTGTGGAAATAGAGAGAGACATTGAAAACTGTGAGTGGATTACAAGTTAATAACTGGTTTGCAAATGGTGAGCTGTCCTGAGCAGCTCTCTCGTTCCCCTAGGAACTAAACACCAGACACCTTGCCAGGGAAAAATAATACAGACAGACTACGTAAACACATTCAAATCCCAAACCTGACTATAAAACCCTTGTGTAGTCTAACGTTTGACCCAACTAAAGTATCATTTCCAGTCCCTGTAGTGTAAAAATTAAGGTGGTTGTGAAAAGGCAATTCAACGGGCAATCTGGAAAATAGCTAGATAGGAACGCTCTGATGTTCAAAACCCGAGACTGTCTCCGGGAAGGGAGCCCGACAGGGGATCACTCATTTTTCCTTCCTTCAACTTATTTTTCCTTCCTTACCTCATTACGTACCAGACCCGGGGGTGGGGATGCTGCTCTCTGTAGAAAAAGCACCAGGCTCTCAATCGATTCCGCGGGAGCAGCTTCCTGGAGGCGGTGAGCCGACAGCAGTGGCAACCTGCTCTCGCAATCCTTAGCTTCCCCAGAAGGCCGCAGAGACATGAAAAGTCTCTCCCCCAGCCCGGCTACTGGGTGCTCCCACTAAACTCATCACACCCCCTCCCCCAGAAAACAGATGCACACCCCTTCTCCCTGAGCTCCCAGAAACAGCCTCTCCCTCACCTCGGAAAGCACCCCACCCAGCACTCACAGCCCCCTCAAAACCACCACTCACCACTGAGCCAGGAGGAGCTATCGTGCAGGACGTAAGAGGATGGGAGAGAAGAGGCAGCGGGGAAAGTTGGAACGAAGCAAGAAAGCACGGGAGATAAGTTTTTTAACCTGCCCAACTTCCATCATCAAACATTCTAAAGAAAAAGGATGGAGTGAACAGCCGATACCTGGTTCTCATAACACACAAATTCTGGTAACAGAAATCATTCTTATTATTAATAAACAGCCACCAAGAATTAAGTGTTTGGGATGAGCCAACACTCTGTTAGGGGCTTTGCATGCATGTGCTCATTTACGCCTCCAGTCAATGCTGATACCAGACACCATGGCTGCCACGAAGACAAACTGACACTCACAGACTCAGTCATTTCTCAAGAAGCCAAAGCTGCTAAGAGGCAGAGAATCAGTGCAAATTATAGGACAGAACAAAAACTACCTGATCCAAAGTGAAACATTCCAGAGTGATCTAATGATGTTAAAATTCTAAAACTCAGCACTACCAAAAAATCCATCCTTGCTTCAAACCCAGCTGGACGTGACCCACCCCAGGGAAGCACACTGTAGCTACACTGGTGAGGGTGCCCAACGGCCCGATGCAGCAGTACAACACGTCCAGTGACTTTTACATTTTGTATGGCTTAGGCGGACCACATCTCTGTGACACGGGGCCTGGCTGGCTTGCTATTTGTGAAGGCAGTGAAACAAACAGTGCCTTCCAGAAAGCAGATTTGCTTATCTATGGGTCCCCTTTTCTGAGGCTGCCTTCAGATGTGAGGCCCAGCAGGCCTCTTCTAGAATGAAGCCAAGGGCAAGTGACAAGGAAGAAGGGCAATGGAGGTGACAGAGATGGAAGGTAGAGTCAAAGTGGTAAAATCCTGGGAGAGGGACTGTAGAAGGAAATTACAAAGAAAGAAAGAGCAAGCATGACTAGAATTCGCCTCCCCCACAGGACCTTGCGGAAGGCCTGCAGAGAATACCCAGTCCAGGAGACGGCCAAGGCATCGCACTCAATGCACGTCTTGCAACCCAGGAGGAGCTGTGTGTGTCGCGAGGAGTTTGCAGCCCGACCTGGATGCAGTAACAGAGAGAGTACTAGGATCGATAGGCGTGAGCAGCTCAGGAGGGCCTCAGCCTGCCATGCCTGTCTCAACCCAGTCCTCCTGTTTTGCAGAGCAGGAAACCCTAATGCAGAGAAGCAAAGCCCTTCAAAGACAGTTTATGAATTCCAGGCAGGGCTGATTTCATGGGCATGTGACTTGTGCAGTCCCACAGGGCCCTGTGCTCAGCAAAGCCACACAGTCAGAAGGGCCCCCGCCCATGGTTTAATGCTCCGCTGTCACTATCTTGAAATTCTTAATACTTTCTAACTAAGGACCTTGCGTTTTAATCTTGCACTGGGCCAGCAGACTATGTAGCTGGTCTTCTCATGTTTTGTTTGTTCTTTGAATTTTCAAATGCCTTATACGTCTTAGACTTTTATTTAACATTTTTACAACTTGTTTCATGGGCTGTTTATACTCTATGAGACCTGGCTGTCCTAAGTGCTCAAAAAATTGATATTTAATGCAGAGGGCAGCATTTTTTTTTCACCCTATCCCTCCTGCATGCTCCAACTTGCAAACCAAAATATGCTTCATATGACTGTCAGAGCCCAAGGAAAAACAAGACACAGATGTCACTAATGGGTTAAATGGGAGTATGATGGGACAGGGTGCATTTTTAACCTCGAGGGGCTGTGAAAGTCTGAACTATTCACAAAAAACATCTGTCCCAGACCCTCAAACTTATCCTATTTTATCCACAATCAAATATATGCCTCCCAAATATGCACATGTATGTGTGTACACACATGCACACGCACAAACATGTACAACACACATACCCACAGAAAACGCAGCTCTACAGGCCTGCTATGTCCTTAGTTCCACATACGTTACAAAGATCAGACACCATTTGATCCTTACGGTGGTGTCCTCAAACAGAGGACGAAAACCAAATATAAATGCTTACACTGGAAGAGCAAGTAGTTATTAAGAATCATACAGAAGACTGTTTTATGATACGGGAAAATGTTCTTGATACACAGTGGAATAAAAGCATGTAACAAAAAAGTATATGGAATATGATCTGTATATTTTTTAAATAGTATGTATATCCGTATGTGTACACATATACTTAGATATATACACTCACAAACACAAGCCAATGTTGATATCCACGTCCACATGTGTATATAAACATAGATACAGGCGTGGATATTACCGTGATCCCATGGCTGTGTGACTCAGTGAAAATCATGTCCCGTCTTTGAACCACATTTTTCTCACGGACAAAGGTGTGGCTTGGATAGGACCATGACTTAGGTCCTCTGGAGCTCTAACAGGTCCCCATTCTGGGGGTCAGGACAGCCCAAGAAGTTCCTCCATTTATTTCAGACTCCAAGTCTGAAAAGCAAATTGGCCCCCACCTGCCTCCTCATTCTGACGGGAAGCTTGAATACTCACTTGCCATAGGTAAAGGAAAAAAACTACTTTTCTTTAAAGATATGGATAATGGTTACAGATATCTTGCAACCTAAGAATATTTTCAAAACATGTTTTTCTGAGTTATTCACTGGAAGACTCTCCCCAACCCAAGGGCTAAAGACACTCTGACATGGAACAACACAAGTTCAAGTTCAAGGGAAACGTTCCATCCTCTTTCAGCCTTCACTTAGCTCCCTCACACATGGTGCACGGTCAGACTCCTTGGGATTTTCCCATTCTGAAAGAGAAGCCGTTTGGCAAGCCAGGCTCTATGACCACCCATGATCTGAATTATGCACAGGTGTTTGAAAATACAGAGGGATCCAGCATAATTAAGAGCATTAAGCAATCATCTCAGGCCAAGAAGGCAGTTGAAGAAAAGAAGAACAGAGTTTGGGCAACACTTTGGGAAATAAATTCCACAGCCTTTCACCAAGTTGAGATCTTGGCTTTGGACACACATAAAAATGAGCCTGGCCTGATCTTAGCTCCCAGTGGACATCTGCCAGATCACAAAATTTGACCCAATTGGCCTGCCTTACAACAGAGAAGGCCACTGCTGGCGCAGCAGATGGTACCACTGGTAAGAGCCAACGTGGACGGACAGGGCAGCGGCAGGGAAATGGCAGAGCACAGCTGGCCCAAGCCAGGGTGGGCGTCTTTGCTTTTATAGGAGAATCATTTTTATAACACATTTTTAAAAAACTACATCGGAGCAGCCGTCGATCTGACTTTCTTCTTTTGCAGACTTCAATTACCCTTTCTTTACGTCCTATAAAACAGCTAATTATTCTTTTATTTTCTTTCTTGTCACTTGGTACCGTTGAACAGTAGTAAAACAACTGCTAACCCCTATCCACAGACAAATGTCTGGTACGGAGAATTGTATCAGAAATATTTCTCGGCAAAGAAGGTGGGGTCAGTGTTTACCCACAAGGTTTTAGGAACTAGACAAAGATACTAAGTTACAAGTATTACTTCTCTTTAAATAAACCATTACCAAGTATAACCTTATTTGATATGAAAAACTCATTCTTTTAAAAATTAAAACTGCTGTTTAATGGGTAACACTAACTCTAATAGTCTCTGTTTAACACAGACCAGTCATTTAAAATAAGAGCATTGTCCAAACATTCCTCCTTTGTTATATTTTTGCCCATTCTTCAGGGAAACACTATCTACCTTTAGAGTCATTTTGTTTAACATCTCCAGTCATTTATGCTATTTACTGAGTATCTGATATTTCTAATAAAATGTCAGTACAAATAACCAAGTTGTCTAGGAGGAAAAAAAAAAAAATAAAGTTTTCCCAATCTTCCCTGGCTGGTCAAGGTAAACATTTCTAGATGGTCCGAGTCAGTTAGCCAGGCTGATACACAAATGCCTTTTCTCTTTCCTGTTAAATTACAAAAGATTATCATTTTACTCAGCAATGAGCCTGACTAAATTGAAACTCTGTACATCAGAATTAAATATGTTCTATCTACTCAAAATGAACAGTGTATTATTTATCACTAATACTTAATGACAAAAAAACTGATAACTTTCTCCGATTATACCACTGATTTCATCTCGTCTCGCATCATCGATTCTCTTGGTCATTAGCATAATCACAGAGCATCAACTCTGGCTTATGCAGCAAGTTTGATAACAGAGATGAAAGTAGACACACACTATTTTAAAAACATGTTCCGATTTTCATCTAAGTATATCTTTATTTATATGGCTTTCTTACCATAAAGATGCCAGTCCTTTAAAATATGCAGAAATCACTTTCTACACTGAAGAACAAGGTGCTATATCATAACAAGGATACAGAAGTATAAAGCGCCTGTTAATTAAACATCGCTTTTTAACTCGCTACCCTGCATATGTAATGTTAAGTTCTAAGCCAAGTCTTTAAATAAGAATGAGAAAATGGCTAGGCTCCTTCAAATGAATGCTTTGCCTGTTTTTTTTTTTCCTTTAATGTAAGAGATCAGCCACTTGATAGATTATTTTTTAAAAATCAAATTCCCTAAAAAATGGTTGAGATTTTTAAAGTTCTTTCCCCCCCAAAACACTGACAAATGAACAAATTATGAGGTTCCAGTCAAGACTGAAGGTTTCACATGAACCCCAAACTTTCAATGTATGGTACTGCAGAATGCTGCTCGGTTTTTAGGTTCGATTTTAAAGAACTTACCTTGAATTAAAGAACCTTCAAAAGGTTTGTATGGAAAAATGAATAAGCTACAGCTACACGTATCCACATGAATAAATTTTACTAACTCTATGGCATAAAAAAAAAAAGCAAGTTACTAAATACATATAGTAGGATCCTATCAGTATAAACCTTGAACGTGCAAAACAAAATCCTATATTTTGGGGACTACTATACACAAATATGTGTTAAAAATATAAAGAACTGCATGGGATGAAAACCAGCCAGCTAAGAATTGTGGTTAAGTAACCTCTAGGAGAGAAGGACAGAGGTAACATGAAGGAGGGATATTCCAGAAGCTTCTTCAACTGGATCAGCAATGTGTTCTTGCTAGAGCTGGGCTACAGGTACTTGGGTGCTCATTGAATCATCCTTTGTTCCTTTTTTGTGTCTTACATATTTGACAATAAAAACTGAAAAATATAAGCACACAGTTTTAAGATAAATAGCTTTGTAAATATCTACCGGATCTCTTTCCTCAAAAAGGAAAGAAAGTAGCCTTGTTCTCAGCTCAAAGATCAAAGTGCTTGAGGCCAAGGCATCCCATTTTATTCAACACTGGTTACAAATACTGAAACCCTGCCTCCCAATATAAAGTCCATTTCTACTGTTTTCAGAAGTGCTTATTGTTACCTTATATTTAAAGAATTCTTTAACCTCGGTACTCTGCCATGGGAAAGTCATCTCTAACAGATATACTCTTTATATTTAATAAAAGTGACCGCCCTGCTTCCTAAGCAAAAAAAAACAAAAACAAACACAGAAATGAGATCTCTCTTTAAGTATCTTCTTCATCTTGAGTTGATACGAATACACACACAAAGAAGAATAAGCTAGAGGCATACCTTGCGTGTGATTTCAGGACAAAGGGGTATCTCAGAGAAAGGCGAACTTCCGCCAGGTACAGAGTCCCTCCGTGCCCACCCCATCCCCATCCTGAAATATTTAAACCTTGTGCTGCAGTCGCTGTAAGGACAGCAAGACAAAAGGAAGAAGCACCCCCAGTCAGCAGCCAAGAGGATGACTTGCTTCTACAAGTATAAGAATTTGTTGCAAGCTTACCAAAGTTACGGCTGCGCGTTTACTGTCAACACGCATCGCACTGCAACAAGAGCCATTATTTAGAAAACAAGATGAACACATTGAAGCGGCTGAACCCTTCTTAAACCCAGAAAAGGCAAAACAGCGGCAGGCCTGCAACATGCCTGATGGAGCCCGTAAAAGAAAAGTCGAGACTAAACGATTTTCTATTTTAATAGACTATTTTCCCCAAAATTACTTAAAGTTGCACATGGACAGCAATGTTCTCTGAAGATGCCCTACCCCCTCCCAAGGCTCAACTAGCTTTCTTCCAAATAATTAAACGGGGCAAACTATCTATTAGAAAATTTCTATAATACATCACTAAAAAAGGGTCTGTCATTGATTCCGTAATGAAATATCAGTTAATTGCTTAACCTTTCTTAATGAAATGATTAACATCCTTTCAACAAACAAGGCGGACTGATTTAACATCAAGCTGTAGATCACCGGTGACAGCAGTAATAGGATACACCCTCTACCATTCCACCTTCTATTTTTTCAATCAGTTCTATTTTCCATCTTTTATAGAAATTCTTTATTGTGGGGTAGAGGCACTCTAGTTTTAGAACTTGGTCCACCAGAGATTTTTTTTTTTTTTAAAGTGCTTCAGGGGTCTGACTAGAAATAAAAGAACTTTGTATTACAGGAATCTCCCAAATGCCTCCTCAACCTAGAGCCAAAGCAACTGTGAAGCTCTAAACATAAAAACAATTGCCAGCTCTTTGGCAGCTATTAAAATAAAGCCACACCCAAAGTCAAAATGGAAATTAAAAATTAGGTGAGGGCATTTTGGACACTTTATTACTGGGTAACTTCAAAAGGCACGTTACTAATACAGATGAAAAATGTCTGTAGAACTTTTATTTAAATAACTCTTTTGATCTTACTGGTTAGATCTTTAGCTGAGGCCCTGAATATTTAAACAAGCCTCCTTAGCATTTTATCTTCCTTTATTTCATAACCTTTGTAGGATACATTCTTCTTGGGATTCTGCTTGCTTGATTTGTGTGGCGTCGTTGGCTAGGCTATTTCCACCAATATTTGTACATGCCTCATCACATACGACAATAGAGAATTTCCCAAGATGCCCAGCGAAATCAAAATACTTGTGCTAGCAGGGTTAATCTAATGAGCAAACAGTTAAGATTTAAAAATTAAGATGGAATACTCAGAGAAAAAAAAAAAAACCCAGAAAGCCATTTGACACTAATTGGTAGCTACAACATGACAATGTCCATTGGGAAACATGGATGCAAGCAAGACGTAATTTGTAAGGAAATAGCTGATATCTGGTGAAAACTACCGATGTTCCAAGTTGTTCCTACCACTTCATTGAACCGTGACACTCTTGTTCTGCCTCTGTTTCTCTAAGTATCTAATGTTTCTTTTTGTGCTTGACTCTGAAAAGGGAGCCCGTCTTCCTGTCTTAGGTTTCACAATGGCCACGCAGTTCAATTAAACCCTTAAGAAGGGTTGTAGGCATTCCTCCAATTCTGATCATTGAAGAGTCCAGCTTTCCCACTTTGGTGAGCATCAGAGTCATGTGGGGTGCTTTTTTAAAATGCAAATGCTAGCCCCACCCCAAATATGGCATATCCAGGAGCAGCGCAACTGCGTCTGTGTTTGGAACAACGGCTCTGCTGTGATTCCAATATTCATGCTTGGTTAAAAACCACCGGTTCTCACTTGTAATGAAAATCTAAATACATTAAAAATAACATAGGATGGGCCTCAATGTAAAGCAAAAAAAAAAAAAAAGTAATCAGTTAAATCCAAGTGAATGTCGAGATTCCAGTTCCAGAATATCTAGCAGAATAAATCACTTCATCCATGGCTCTCTGTTTCGTGTGCATCAGAATTACCAGGGGAAGTTTCTTATCAATGTACATCCCCATGTCAGTCAGCAAAAATTCTGATTCAAGAATCTGTATTTTAATAACATCTCCTGACATACACATACACATACACACACACACACACACACACACACACACACACACACGCTGATGTGGATGCAGGTGAGCAAGAAACCTCACTTTAAAACAGGCTGAATTAGGACGGACTGCAACCACTTTCCACTTCAGGAAGGCATCTGTCTCCATCTCTGTGCTCACCTGCCCCCAGGAGGGGAAGCCACAGGCATCACTGGCCAGGCATCACCAACTCAGGGGACAGGCACTAGGGCAGGAGAAACTCAAAACTCATACCACGCCCTCCTCCGCAAAGGCTGCAGTCACTGTCCAAAGAGCACCAAGAACATCTTAAAAGATAAAAGTAATAACAAAGCCCCTTATCATTGGATCTCTATGTTCAAAGAACATACCTTAAAATATTACCCCGAATTCACAGGCAGTGAACCTGGAGCAAAAAAAGTCACGTTATGACTCAATTTCACAGCTGGGCGGGAGAAAAAGACACCTCGGAAATTCAGTTTTTGAGTTTGATGCTAGAAATATTATTCAGTATCCTCATCAACAAAGTAGCTCACAAAATTAGCTAAAATCTGAGAATCTGGCAAAATGTGGCTTTCTATTTGATTCACTAGTAATAAATAAACACATACCAAAAT